CTATATGTACAGATGGTGCGAAGGTCATGATGGGCAAAAAAAAATTGGTTTGGTTGGGCAGTTATCTATGAACAATTAAGGTTCCCGCATTTCATTGTTGCATTCACCAACAAGTGCTTTTTTGAAAAGAACTGGGTTGTGTACAAGCAATAGAAACAGCAATTAGAATCATAAATAAAATCAAGGGGTGTCATAATGCGCTTAGCCATCGAAAATTTAAAACTTTCTAAGAAGAAATCGACGCTGAACATAACGATTTACTTTAACACACTGAAGTTCGTTGGCTAAGTAGAGGCAAATGTTTGCAAAGGCTTTTCGAACTAAGAACAGAGGTCAAAATATTTTTAGAAGATGATAATTCAGAGTTAGGAAAATCGTTGGTTTCATCATTGAATAATGAAGAATTTATAACGGATCTAGGTTTTCTGTGCGACATCACAAAAATACTTAATCAATTACATCTGACATTGCAGGGCAACAATAAACTAATTTTCAATTTACATAAAACAATAACAACATATCAAGAAATATTAAAGAATTTAACCCATCAAATCCAATAACAATTTAATAAGTATGCCAAACCTATCACCACTTGCAGAGGAATTTTCAATCATAAATAAATTAGAATACTATAGCCAAATCATATCCCGCATTTTAGAAAATTACAACAAAAGATTTAAAGATCTAGCTCAAATACAACCAATTACAAACCTATATGATAATCCATTGACGTGTGATGTTGTTATCTTTGATCCGTTACTTCAAAAAGAAATCAGAGAAATGCGATCAGATTTTTCGTTACTTATTGACTCCGGTATTGATTTTTTGGAAAATGATTGATGAAAAAAAGTATCCATTAGCGAAAGATGAAATTTTAAAAATGTTTTCAAAGTTCGGATCAACATACAGGGTGGCTGATGAATTTTGCTACATTAAGAAACTCTAATAATTTGTTTTCAATGTATGGAATTCATTTTTCTTTTATTCATGTTAAAGCTCATTAAATTTTATTAAATATGGCTTAGTTAGTTTTAAAAATAATGCAATTTAAATGCCCCTGCTTGTTGATGCATATGCGGCATCTTACCAAAAAGTTGTTCATTACTGCTTGGAGAGTTGAGACAGGAATAGCCGCAATTGTTTCTCGAATGAATTGCCTTAGTTCATTCAAATTTGTTGGTTTTGCTTCATAGACTTCCTGTTTGTAATAACCCCACAAGAAAAAGTCAGGGGCAGTAAGGTCAGGCGACCTGGGTGGCCAACGGAATGTGGAGTTTCTGGATATCAGCTTATTGGGAAATTTTCGTCGCAATTCTTTCATAACAGGTTGGGCTATGTGAGGAGCTGCACCATCTTGCTGAAACCACACAGAGTTGAAAGGAATTCTCATTCGGCATAATTCTGGATAGAAAAACTGTGGGTTGGAAGCGCTACATATTCGACAATTTTGTTTGTTTATGTTGCCGTTTAAATCGAAATGGGCCTCGTCAGACATGAAAAGACAGTTTAACATGCTTCCATCCTCTTCTACTATTTGAAGCATCTTCTGGTAAAATTCCAAGCGAATCGGAATTTTATATGGGAATAAGTCCAAATCTTTGTGCATAATTGACTGTAATGACTGTCTTACACCCATTTGAGCAGATAAGCTTCTTGTCGAAACACGTGGATTGTTTTGTATGGCAGCCCCTACAGCAGCGATTGTTTCCCCCGTTCGAACTGAAGGGTTTCGATGGTAAGTTCTTGTGTTGACTGTCCCATGCTCGGTAAAATTGTTTACAAGTCTCATTATGGTCCATCTGCTGGGAGGATTGCCGCCAAACGTGCGCCTATACTCTCTTTGAACCGAAACTGCGGACTCCAGTGCGTGATAGCGGCGGACAATCCAAATTCTTGTTTCAATGTCCCATTTATCCATTTTTGTTAAATGTAAAAGTCAATCTGCAAAATAAAAAAAAAATTACCCGGATTGATTGAATAGAAAAAAAGTTATTTACTTTTTTTTTGGTAGCGGCTTTCATCAGCCACCCTGTATAGTTGTGAAGTGGCATTTTCCACTTTAATGCATATTCAAAGTAAATATAGAAATCTACTATCGAAGAATCACATTTCTGATGTCATTAGAATTAAGCAATATAATAAAGAAATAAATATAGATAATTTAGTTGACCGTAATTTTTAATAAGTACGTTTACTTATTTGTACGCACTGTTCCGTATTCGTGTTGTCTGCTTGTTGCTTTCCGAATGTTCGCTAATAACCAACACAAGCATAACGTGCACACAGTCACGTTGGACAACACTGATTTATATACATATGTACGCATTTATTTACTTTGGGCATTTGAAGTTTTGATAAAATCTTAAAAGTCATATGCATATAATTATGTGTACATGTAAAGAGATTTTAGAAACCATATGTATGCTCGCATATTCACATATGCATGTGCATACATATGTAATTTTGTGTTCATGTAAACAAATTTGAAAGAATCATTCGCATTATGTGTGTAAATTTCTCTAAACACAACTTTGTATGTAAATATATACACACATTGTTTCATACAAAAACTCCGTTGTCACGGACAACCAAACTTTGTCAAAAAGTCAATGGTAGAAAATCGGAGCTGTACCGATACCGCTTCCCTTGTCGCTTTACAGCTTTGCCTACAAACTAGCGAAAATACATATGTATGTAGTTTGTGCTTGCATACCATATGAACGCAGCTGCATAAAAATATTTCAGAATTACAAAGTGTTTTTTAAATTCCTTGACAAATACAGTCAATCCTGGTTATGTGCCGCATTCAAAGATATAGATATTTATAGTTAAAAATAAAAATATGATATGGTACATACGCGACTGCGGATACTTAAATGAGTCGTACTTAAAGCAATAATTTCTAGGTATTTAAAAAAACAAATCATGAGATGCAGCAAGATATAATTGGGGCTGTTAAGAGTGATGCGGGAGAAATTTGATTTTCATTTAAGCGGAGTACTACTTAGCCAGGATTGACTGTAGATATAAATCAGAGGAATACTGAATATTTTCTTTGAAACGTTTCTTGAATTGAAAATCGACAAATAAACTATGTTGTCAATATTATTCTAATATATTTTATACTTATTTTTGCGGGGTTGACACATTTTCCTTCTCATACATTTCAAAAATATATTCAATTTATGATTTTTAGCTTTTGAAATTGTCGCGAAAAGACGCTTGTAGGCAAGGCATGCTCGGGGAAATGTAATGGCGTCTGCTTTTATGAATGAATCGAATATGATTTATGAAAGTACGTTTGCGTTCATGAATGAAGATTTTGTTGTAGTGTAATTTACTATAAGTTTTGACGTCGTCAATTTGGCTGCCATATTTATTTCTGATGCTATTTCTGACGATTGTTGTTTATTAAACAGTATTTGTAATTTTTGCGTGAGACATATTTACATGTGTACGCATATATAAGTATGTATGATGATGTTTAAGACGATTGTTGTTTTTGTAGAACAATATTTGAAGTTTCCACGGGCGACATACGAGTACATACATGTGCATACAGATATGTGTGGCAATGTCATACGCACATATGTATGTATATGTGTATGTACATGTAGAGCAGCGCGCGGATTTATGTTACTGATAAGTGATAATATCGTGATTTGAAATTGATTTGTACTTACATATGTATGTACATACATATGTGCAGGAAAGATGCGTATGATAGTTTTAAATGATAAAAGGTGTGATTTACATATATTACTGTTGTAATATATTAAGTTTTTTAGGATATTATGATAATATGTACATACATTGAATTGAGAATTGCATAAATTAAAGATAATGTTATCAATTTTGTATGAATTCACAAAAATTCGCAAAATTATATTCATATCAATTGATATGATAGCATGTAAACGTATAAAAATATAAGCCAAAAGGCCAACAGGCGTCTGTAAAAGCCATGTACATATATTTCAGAGTATAATTATCATTGAATTCTCAACTCTATTCACTCATTTCTGTTAAAGTTTTCCTGCCGAGCCAAAAGTGGTGAAATCCACTAATAGAAAATTCATGGCTCTTGACAGTTCACATGCTTGTCCGTAGTTGAACCTTCTCTATCCGTATTATACGTTCTCTGCTAATACTGCTATTGTTGTATTTGTTATATTTGCTGTGATGTAATTATTTCCGTTTATATCTTTTTCTTGTGTTTCGTTATATATATTGGTGGTTGTTTTGGAATTTCCAGAATTTCTTATTTTCTTTTAAGTTGTTGGTAGTATTTTTTGTAATACTGGTAGCGGAGTTTTCACTGAGAGGAGGAGTAAACTGAGTTTTTTTTCTCGCATGGAGCACTTTCTGTCTGTTTTTATGATTAGCATTTGTTTTATTTGCATAAATTTGGGACATATTTTGTCTGTTAATGCAAAAGGAACGTACCGAACAGGAGCTTTAGTACGTCATTTTTTGCATGACCCAAAAGTTGCCAGCTTTTGCACCTCATAGGGTTAAGATAGTAAAGCCTTACCTTACTTGTGTACCATGAAACTTAAATTTTTTCAGGCAGGTGATATTTATCCTTTACCTCTGATAACAATTCCACTAGGCACTGATTTTTGGTTTAAGTATGTATTTAAGGAATTTGAAAATTGATACAACTCTCTGCTCTTTTAAATGTTCAACGATTTTATCATCTGGTTTTGCATTGTGGCATGGTGAGAAAATTTCTGATGGCACTTAGCATACAAATTCGATAATATAGGACTAGTAACGAATTACCGATTTGTTAGGTGATGAATTTTTAAGAAAGGTGCAACGACATCGATATCTGCCAGCTACGAGCTATTGATTTTTTAATAACGGTTAAAAAAGAGAGTTAACAAGCGCTATCTATTTAAGTGTTATTTGTATTCAATACTAAATAAATTAAACTAAATTGAAAAATGATCTTGATATTTCTTCAATAATTTTAGTGATACATTTCTTATTTACAGTGTTTTTGGGCTTTAGGGGCCTGCTTTGAAATTGCTTTAGCCTTAGCGATATATCCAAACTTTGGATGGCGATGGCTTTTGGGCTTCTCAACGGCACCATTGCTGCTATTTACTTCTCTTACACCGGTAAATATATACATTTATTCTCTTCATATAACAACTTCTAGGCATATTATATATTGTAAAAATATTTTATTAAACTTTTCATTTTTTCCACACAACAATATTCAACTCTAAATTAGTAGTGTGCTGAAAATTTACTTCTAACAATTAATTTTCATGAAAAATAATGACTTTTCAAAATAATAAAAATATTAATATTAAGACGGGAATTTAAATCATTTGAAATAAAATTAGTTGAAAAAAATATCTCATTGCACACATAGTAAAAATATTAGACCTATTAAATGGTTTAATTAATCTCTATATCTGCTTAAGCTAATGGAACTATCTGAAACAAAAAAATATTGAAGTTTTTAATAATTAAAAAATATAAAAATAATATAAAACTTTTACATTTTACTCAAATTTTTGGAAAATGAAAGAACTATTAAGGTATAGATTAAGATGATATATAAGTTCGAGATAACATTTATTATACTCTTGCAACGTGCTGCTAAAATGTATAATAGTTTTGTTCACTTAAACTAATGGAGGTAGCTATAGATATATACACACATATATATATATATACATATATGAATGATCAGAATTACGAGACGAGTTGAAATCCGAATGATTGGCTGTCTGCCCGACCACCCGTTCGTGCAAGCTTGAGTAAAAATTTAAATATTATATATTGATGAAACCAGGTATTCCACGCCCTCAAAAAACTGCTTATTAATCGAAAACTTATAAAGTGTCATAATATACATATCATCCGGACAAGAGATTCTCGTAAGGCCTTAGTCTCATAATCATTGCGTTACTTTTCCTGCAAAGAGCACCAAAAACAAAATAAGCCTAACTTTTAGACCGAGAAAAAACATATCAAAAACGAGTCAGCCGAAATAAATCTGAAAATCCCTACGTTCCAAAAACACCTGCAGACCACTCCCAATACAAAGACGAAGGCCACACATAGCAGCAGCAACAACAAATCCAATTAGACGAGCAGTAACATATTCAGTAAACACCCAGAACTAACAAACTCTGCTGCTTTTCCAACAACGACAACAAAATGTAGCAGTATGAACATCAGTTTACAAAATCAACAAGAAGCTTCCAATTTTCAAACCTCAGCAGTAAGTCCTCTTCAGGTATTATACTGTTGATCCAAGAAAACGATCCCGTGGCTGCAAATACTCCCAAACCTTCCCAAAAACAAGTTAAGCTGGACCAGTATTGGCTGAGTCATCAAAAAAATCTCAAAATTCAATTTCCTATCACATACACATACCCCAGGTGGAAACTCTCCTATTAGTGGTGGTGTTTCTGAACCCTCAGAAGGCAGAAAACTCTATACTGCTATAACAACGTCTACATCTCCTTATTCCTCTTCTCCTCTTCAGTCTTTCAGACGTATTCGACTGACGAGAAAAGAGCTACCGACCTTATGGACTTTTCAGTAACAAACAGCATCAATATAAATGACATTACATGTACTAAGTGCTGTGAATAATCATCTGATCACTTCGCAGTGTTAATCACACTTAGCTGACTCAGAGAACATAAAGCATAGAGAAGGTGCAAATTGAATTCTGTATGATGTTCGATTGGGCGGCTAACAGAGCTGATAGATTTGTAGTAGGGAATTCACCATTCTCGCTGCTATTTAGCAGAACTGAGCACGTGCAATGGCATAAATATACAGTCACTCACAGCTTATTTGATGCATGATTTGGAATGTCGCAACGTAAAATAGCTGAACTAGTAAATTTGAGTTCGTCCACAGTTCAGCACATTATTGAACGCTTTTTACGTGAAAATCGTGTGGTAAATAAAGGACGACAGGCTCCAAATAAAATTTTCACGGAGAAAGATTGTAAGTGGTTAGTGCGTCAAGTGAAGAAAAATCCAACAACAAGTGCTCCAAAGTTGACAGAAATGGCCAAAAAAGATTTAGGCAAGAATTGCCATCTCGAAACAGTCCAAAGAGTACTAAGGGAAGCAAATTTAAATGGCAGAATAGCCCGTAATAAGCCGTTTGTAAGTGCAAAAAATAGAACTAAGATATTGCAGTTTGCGCGTGGCCATATAAATAAGACAATAGCATTTTGGAAGACTGTACTTTTTGCAGATGAGGTTAAGATTAACTTATTTGGAAACCTAATACGGAGCTTAGGCCTCAAAATTTGCGTGCTACTATAAAACACGGTGGCGGCAACGTTATGGTGTGGGCATGTATGTCATCAAATGGGGTCGGAAACTTAACTTTTATTGAAGAAACTATGAACAAACATGTATATTTAAAAGTTCTGCAAGAAAATTTGCTTCAAAGCGCTAGAAACTTGAAAATTGAAGATGACTTTCGCTTTTACCAAGATAACGACCCTAAGCACAAGTCACAGATGGTGCAAATGTGGTTAATATATAAATGTCCGCACATGACATCCAGAACAAATCCGATCTTAAAAAGCTATAATGGAAGAGTGGAACCAAATTAAGCCGGAATATATCAAAAGTTGACTCCATGGCAAATAGACTTCAAGCTGTAATTGATAATAAGGGATACCCTACTAAGTACGAAGGTTTAAAAGTTTATTTAAATTACGAATAAATACTTGTTCTTTTTTGAGTTGCATCCTTTAAGCTGTGACGTGAATTTCCAAATACTATTTATATTTTTTTGCATTAAAACTAAATAAATAGAACATTTTTTTCAAAGTTTTGTTGAAAAATTAAATGAAATAAAATAAATAAGATGTCTGCATACTCTGTTTTTTCATCTTTGCAAAATTTTAAGATATATGGAAGATTTTACAAAAAAATTGTATCTGCATCAAATAAGCTGTGAGTGACTGTATGTAAAACGACTGAATTCATGCGAGAGTAAATAAAGAGAAATGCTTTGTAGAAAAATATACAAAGTCACACAAAGAATGTAAAAACCATTCTCTGAGTCACATATGCATGCTCATTTTGTATTATATGAACTATTGTCGCATATCCGTGATTATTTTATATTATATGAACCATTGTTTTCCCAAAAATGGTAAAAATTTTAATTTTTTTACAAAATCTGGAAAAATTAAATAAAAACTAATTTTCAATAAATTATTATTTCAAAAATTATATTAGTTTCGACTATTATATTATATTAATTTCGACTATTATAAAATGAAGATGTGTCAAATGAACTTCATTTCCTCAAAGAAAATTGATGACCTTCATGAAATATGCATATTCGCATTATTTCTATGGCATATAGTATATGTACTATTTCTTTGGCACTTGTGTCTGTATGTTTACGAAAGCACATGCGAGCCATACAAAAATATTTTAGAATTGACAAATATTATAAATCGACAACAGCTATGTTGCCACTTTTCTTACTTCCTTCTTAGAACAAACACCAGAAAGATGTTCAATTTATGATTTTTAGCTTTTGCCATCGTTGCGAAAAGACGCTCGTTTTTGTTCTAAAATTTACTACATTTCGGCTCCGCTAATTCGGCTGCCATATTGACTTGTGATGCTTACGCTATTTGAGCAATTGTTGTTTTTGTAGAACAATTCTTAAATTTTTTGTTGGTGACTTAGTCACATGTGTACTCATATGTATGTTTGTATGCTTGTGCATTATTCGTTCGGAAGTGTATATAAATATAAGTTAATGGTTAAGTTAATAATCAAATAATTAAGTACACGCTTTTTTGGCTTCTAAAGTTATACTTATAAAACTAATGATAGTGTTACTGCAACAAGAATTGCTAAGAAGCTTGAGCTAATTGAAATAATGTTTTTGATGTTATTCGTTCTAGTTCATTTACATTATTTAAATGTAGTTTATGCAAATAGTTTAACTCCAATTTAATTTCATTTTCCGTTAGGTTGTCTGAAGTATTGCGGGTAAGATTTGGTAGGAACTTGTTTGCCAGTTTTTATAACTAACGTTCTTCAAATACTATTTATAATGACTTATGTCAAACTCAACTGAACTTTCTATAAAAGTTAAATTTCGTCGTTTGTCCTTCTGGATATGATATTTGTGCGTACAGATTCATTTTAATACTTTTGGTGTAGGCGTCGTTCACCAAAAACACTTCACGGTTTTATAAAGTTCTCGGGCGCCAGTTAATGGTTGCCACCAAATAATTAAGTACACGCTATTTTGGATTGTAAAGTTGAACTCAAATTTCTTTATTGAATACCTTTCTTTTATACAAAATTTTGCTTATTTACTATAACTTACATATGTACGAGTTCTTTTCTTACCAGTACTTATTTCTATATACTCTATAATGATAACGTAAGCAATAATTAGCAAAATAGCTAACCGCAGTTTGGTCGAGAAACGGCCTATATTGCGGCGGCACCGCTTCCGCTCTGGTTTAGTGCCGACGAAATATACTGTTGTTGTAAATTTTGGAAATCAACTTTATTGAGCAACAATGATATTGTTTATTTGCAGAATATTGCTGAATTGAATTTCTGTTTCTAATTGCAACATTCTTGTCAGTATATTTTACTAGCTACGACAACTTTGTTGTTGTATATTTTGTTAGCTATGCTAGCTGTGATAATTTATATGTACATATAAGTATATATGAATGTATGAACATGCAGATTAAAGTGCGCACATGTATATAATATATTGATAAGTGATAAAATCATGATTTCAATTTCTGAACGCACACATGCGTATACATGCAATCATATGAGTAGATAATAAGATTAATATGATAGACAATACACATATTTATATATTGTTGTGATAAATACAATTTCTATTACTAAGAAACATAATACAAAAATATTTATTAGTATAGTATATTATGTAAAAATCAAATAAAATTTATAAATATACAAGTCCAAACTGACTATAAATATTACTATGCATGCATTCATACAAAATTATATTCATATAATAATTATGGAATTGCTGAGGGCAAAACACAAAAGCGTACATACATACATATGTATTTGCATACATTGCGCTAGTGATGAGCGAAGTAGCGATTTTT